CCTCACCATCGACTTGTTTTTTTTTTTAAAAAATAGTGTCAACTATAATAAAAAAAAAAAACAAGCAACTGAAACAAATACTGCAAACTCAGCAGAGGTTTGGTGAAACATCCAACCTGAATTCAGCCAAAAGCCGCCAAAGCCGTGTTGTGGAAATACCACTGGCTAAATGAAAAGAGTTTTTTATATGTTTGACCAAGCTTGTGAAGCTATTGGTGTATTTGCAATTATAAAATAAATTTGTAATTAAGTACAAAGAAAGAAACATTTTAAATGAGTTCAGCTGTTTTTTTGAATCATATCAGTATCAGAAATAGTTTTAATCTTGCGAACTGATCAGTCTGTCATTGCAGCTGTTCACATGTCAGTATTGTTTCCTCCCAAAAACACTAAAAGTACTTATTTATGTTTTACTTTTGATCTATTGAAGAAGTCAATCACACATCCTCTTCTTGTCAGGATGCTCCGGTCCAGACCCAGGTCCGGCAGGCCCTGGCCCGGCCCCGTGCGGCCCACGCCCTGCGCCCGTCCGCCTCCAGCTCCCAGCGGATAATGGGCGACCTGCGCAGCACCAAGTGGAGCACCCGCAGGGAGGAACGCTACAGAATCCTGTCCAGCCACCGCACGGGGCTGCTGCGGCCCACCGAGCAGGAGACCCCCCAGGTTGAAGCCTCAGAGGCCGCAGAGGACAGCAGGACGGACAAACGTGGTGGTCTGGGAGAAATCCAGGTGGTGGATCTGGTCCAGGAGGACGAGGAGGATTCAGACAAACCACTGAGGAAGGTGAGGAGTTTAAATGCTTAAACTACATAACAAGAGATGAGGCCTGATCAGACATCATGAAGATATGTTGAATTAAACCACAATACTCCAGAGGATCTGGAGTATTGCTCCTTCATGATGTGTTTAAGTCAACACATCATGAAGATATGTTGACTTAAGTTGACTTATGTTGACTTAAACCACAATACTCCAGAGGATCTGGAGTATTGTGGTATTGTGTATTGTGATCTGGAGTATTGCCGATATCACTCTGTGCCCTCCTGGGACAAATAGTATTATTTTATGAGTAAACCAAAAATCATCACACTTAAAATTATTTTTTTGTCCCATTGTTTTTATTTATATATATATATATATATATATATGTACCTTCATTAACCTTGTTTTGTCCATCTGTGCACTCTGACATATAGTTTTTTTTTTTGTTTGTTTTTTACTTTTCTACATTGTCACATTTGCTGCTCTGGAGTATTGTGCTTTGGAGTATCATTTCTTACTCAGCTTATGGTTATGTTTGTATTTGCTAATATTTAATGCTTTAAATTAATTTCTACTTGTCAGTAGAATATATCTTGTACTCTATTTTATGATTAGAGAAGTATCATTCATACTAGGCGTGGATAACATGGACATGAAGTTTTATCACAATATGTTGTGGTATTGATGTGATCAGAACTATTTATTCCATTTTTATGTAACTTTATGCCAGCAGTCGACTCCACAAACGAAAAGTTTCTACTTGAAATAGAAAACACCAGCTACATGAAGAAGTTTGACTGGAGTCACAAAACTAAACACACTAAACACATTTAATCATATTTTCAAATGGATTATTATTTATTGATACTTTCGTTAAACAAACTATGAAAAAACAGTCAAATTAACATGGATTGTTTTTCAATGTAAATTGGAATTTATCATGACAATAAAAGTTATTGTAAGAAATTTGTCACAAATAATAAGATAAATACCAGAAATCTAAGTCAGATTCCTGGTATATATTTATCATATTACTACTGCTTCAGTTTATCAATTCACTTTCACTAGTAATACTTTTTTTTTAAAGATATTTTATCAAGTTTTAACAATTAAACAAAACCATGACAACAGTAATCAACTTGCTGCATTAGAATGATTTATTGAATCCTTTATGTGATCAGGACTAAAGTAAGTAAGCTTAGAGGTGAACACAAAGGATTCATTTGTCTTGAACTGCATCATCGTCTCTGCTGCTGCTGACTCTTCGTCTGTTCGTCTGTCTGTCTGTCTGTCTCTCTGTCTGTCTCTCTGTCTGTCTGTCCAGACGCTGCCTTCAGACCCGGAGGTGATCCTGTGCAACAACACCAAGCTGCTGCGGGAGCGGCTGGCCGTCTCCGGGGAGAAGCCAGGGGCGGAGCACCGGGAGCTCGACGACGACTACGTTTACGACCTTTACTACCAGGAAACGGTCACACCAGGCTGGATCCAGGACATCCTGTCTGTCAGGGCCTATGCTGACGACGGAGAACTGGTGTGTGTGGATGGATGGACGGACAGATGAATGAGTGCTGAAATCTGAGTGAGTGACTGAAGAAATGGGCTCAATTACTGCAGAGGGGCTCACCCTGTGCTGCCTTTGTTACTGAGTAACTAGTATTACATTACCCAGTATTGCTTTAGCTTTGTAGGATATACATTTTTTATGTTAACAATAGAACTCCTTAAAGAGTTATTTATTCACAAACTTCAGTCCAAATGTGAACCTTTCAGATTTGAGCGTGCAGCTCTGAGCTTCAGCATGCTGCTCCTCCTCAGGTTCCAGATCTGGTGGTCCATGAAGAGGAGGTCTATGATGATGAAGATGACGAGAATGAAGAAAGTAACTGGAGGAATGACTACCCCGATGAGGACAGTGGTTCAGACAGCGACAGAGAGCAGCGCTATGGAGGTAGGCCTCTGAGTCCAGAGATGATGGGAACCTCAGCTCTGCTGCTGTTTGCCGACGGCTTTCACTTTTTGTTTCTAATGAAAATGTTTACATGAACATAAACCTGATGGTGTTTATGGTGACATTGAACCAGAGATGGAGGATCTGTAAATGTAGCTGTCCAAAAAGGTGATAATCTTACATATCCACTCTTTTGTAATTCAAAGTTTTTCATCTGTCATTCCAACTCTTAGACATTAAAATCATAGTCAGTAATGGGTTTTACAGCTTGTAGATATTGCACTTCGAACAGTTATTTGCTCTTTTACTTCTGTACATTACAGTTTCTATAAAGTCATAATGTGGAGTTGTGTATGAAAGAACTGCCCTGTTCTTTAGATTACTTTTATATTTGGTGCCAAGTATGTCAAACTTTAATTGCCAAGGAGCAAGGCAGAATGAGATGACAGGATCCTGGAGTTGAACCCTCAGCTGCTCCAGGATGTGTTGCATTTAAATACTTCAGATCATTGAAGAAATGTTGCTGCTAACGTAAATATAAAACATTCTTAAAAACTGTTTAAGGGAAAAATATCTGACCAACAGACTTGGCTGACAGCTGAACAGTAATTGGCACATTTGCTAAATGAATAATTTCCTCTGATTGATCACATTGTTGAACACCTGAGCTCACATTCACCAGTCACATCCAGAGATGATTACTTATAGAATAAAAAAAACTCAATAAGAGATTTAAATATAATATATAAAGGGCTTATCTCAAATTAGCAAAAAAAGAAAAAAAATTGGTTATCCTCAAAACTGACTAAAGTGCAACTTTGAATCTCATAACTGACTTAAAACTGAGCAATTCAGGGAACAATGAATGTCTTTGGATCAATATGGAATAGTTTTGATTGTGTTCATCCATCTTGTATTTTGTTTTTCTGTCTCCAGACTACTGGGAGGAGGAGCACTCCTACTGCAGGAGGAACTGGCAGAGCTACCAGAAAGACGTGTTGCAGGAGCTGGGCGGCAGCGGCGAAGACGACGACGACGAAGACAAATATGATTCTGACTGACTGACTGACTGACTGACTGCTGCACCGCAACTTTCCAGCTTCCTTTTCCACAAGATGCCTCACTCTACGAGCTTCTGTGTAGCAGAGACTATAGAATAAAATAAAATAAAAATCCTAACTGTTCAGATCTCCCAACGGTGGTGTGGTGTGCCAAAGTACTGCAGCGTCAGCCCCATGTCCAGAAAGCTTCCTGCAGGCGGTCGTCTCTCTGCTACACACAGGCTCAGGGAGGGAAGGCGTTTCCAGATGAACCAGAGCGTCTCTTTCTTTGAAGCTGTGCTAGAGTGAATCTGTATGTGGGTGTTTGTTCCACGTAAATTGTTGCACATTAGTGTGGTATGCCTCGTACGCTTTGTGCCGTTCAATACTTCTGTTAGCGAGTCGTCTCCAGACGTGTGTGTGTGTGTGTGTGTGGTTGCAGTTTTTAGGTGTTTGCATTCTGTGCATGGTAGCGCGTACATAAACCAGTTTCTTTTGTTTGTTTTCTGCATAATGTGAAAGGCTGGTGTGTAACTTTCTGTTGTGAATGTTTGAGTTTGTGGTTTGGAGGGAAAAAAATCCAGTTTGGAACGTTTCTGGAATGCTTGTTGAAATGAAAAGTTTCTGTAAATATGTAGATGTGTAAACAAAGAAAGGTTTGAAAATAAACATGAGTCTGTTCAGTTTCTCTGCCTGAAGAACAAACGGCTTTGGTAGAAGATTTTTGAAAGGTTTATTTCAGAATAAAGTGCAAATACTACATAATTAAAGGCAGGAATAGTGAAACCAGCCATTCAAGATGAAAGGAAGAGGCTTCAGTCAATGTGAAGCAACAACACGCTAAACAGTAGTAAAGTACCTGTATGATTTGGCCTTTTGGACAATTTTCCCTAATTTCATTCCCACTGATGTTCTATTGTAGAAATTGCCTTTACATTTTTTTTCACATATCACTTTACAACTGCAAACATTTAATTTCAATTTGGGGAGAAATAATCAAATAGTGTGTGAAAGGTGAAAACCTTTGCAAGGCTCTGGAACAGTTTTCAGCAGATCTTTACATTTAATAAAATTCTTCATTATTTGTCAGTTCATTAAAAACACAACCATACTGGTTTATGGATTTTGGTGTGCTATAAAATGGCATGTTCCAAGAAAATGCATAATATATATGTTACTGGTGTGACTAGTAAGTCATGATGGGTCATTATGCTGGATTTTCCCCCCTACATAAATTACATATGGCTGCATTTTCAGTGCATGGCAGCAGCATGGTGAACAGTACAAAAGATGAAAGCTGCTTGTTTCCCAGCAGTTTCCTGTGTGGAGAAACAGGCTACTGGGTTTTGTCCGTCTCTGTCAGTACACAGAAGCAGGAGTACTGGGTGAAGAAAGTCAGAAAACCTGCAGAAAGACGGGATATTCTTGATACATTGTCATATCTTGCAGAGCCTATAATTGCATGTTTTATCCTTCTATTGCTTTTCCAAATCAGTCATGAACAAAATTAGATTTTTTTTTTTTAATCAAAAAAAAGTTTTCGTTAAATAAGAATCACATTTAAAATCAAGTGAATAAGTTAGTTCATGTCATTAAAAAATATACAGAGCCAATCATTTCCTGTCATTTTTGTCTCTGGTGGCAACCAGAGACTGGTTCTTGATCACATGATGAAAAAAATGTGTTTCCACTGCAGTTTTACCAAATACACTAATTTTGATACAGCTGAAAAACCATCTTGTCCTGGCAGCTTTTATTTCCCCCCCAAAATTAGCATGTTTCCATTTAGTGCATTTATTCATAATTCCAATTTGCACAATTTTAAGGTCAATGGAAAACGCAGCTCCTGTCACTGGCGCTTCACTCAGGTGACCTCTACTCCACTCATGGTGAGAACATTAGCACCATTCAGCTGGACCTCTGTTGAATTAGGTTCAGAGTTTCTACATAATCATGTATGTTACATTACTCTCTTTTACTATGAAACTCTTTTTGATACGGAAATTGATTTTATTTAGTAAAAATAAAAACGCTTATGTTTTTTGTCAAAAAAGTCAAATATTGTTGCTCATTAATGAACTGGAAAACGATGGCGTACTCACGCAGCAGCTTGATGATAACCGGAGGTCTTTTGGACTCCGGCAGATAGACGCCCAGGAAGTAGACGGGAACACCAGACAGGGCGATTGAGATCCCGATCAGGGAGTTCAGGGTGTCACTGTACAGAGGAACTGCCACCAGGAAGACGGCACACAGGCAGAACACCACGGGGTAAAACAGTGAGAGCTACAGAAGGGCAAAACAGGAGAGAGAGGGGCCAGAGTCCGAATGTTCTACATGTAAAAAAACATGTCATAAAACACTCAGCGTTAATCACATAACTGCTTTTAAACTAGACTGAAAAATTCTGTTTATGTTGTCTTTTTTATAGTTTTTTTTATAGATTATCTCTTCTAATCAATTGATTTAGATAAATGACCCAATAATGTTACTTTGAGAGGTCTGGGTCTGTCAGGCTGCTTCCAGCGAAGGTAGATCTGCCCGGCGACAGACAGGCCCATGAAGAACCAGTAGCTGAAGCTGTAGTAGTTGATGAGCTGGAAGACATCTTCCACTGTGAGGTAGATCAGTGACATGATACACTGGGCAGGCAGGGGGAGAAAGAAACAGGAAATGTTTCAGTTGGAGATATTTCATCACAATCTACAGTCAGAAATGGTTCTTAAAAATCCTTCTTTATTTCCAACAGTGTACAACGATGGCTGTGAGGCGTTTCATACCAAATACCTCATCAGTACATGCAAAAATGTCCATGTGCTGCCACACTAAATGCCATTTGGAAGCAATAACAGCATAAGAAACATTCACAATTTGCTTGTTTTGTTGTTTTTTTCTACGACAAAAAAAAGTATTTTCATCCATTTCCAAAGTACGTGGAGAATGTTTTTGTTTTATTTGATTTGGAAAGTGCTCTCAGATGGCATTTTTGACTTCAGCAACATGGTTCAAACATGTGCAGTGATATATTTTTGACACTAGTTGTCACCAAAGTCTAAGTTCCTCCTGCTTTGACCATTCAGATTAATTTAAAGTTGATTTCTTCTCTTACATTGAAAATCAGCGCAGGGATTGGAGTGAATCTCTGAATATGGATCATGGACAGAGCATCTGGAAGGTGACCCTCCCGAGACCCTACAAAGAACAACCTGGACGCAACAAACATGAATAGTTTTAATGTCAACATATCTATAAGGGTGTTTGTTCTTACTTGATGAGTGGATAAATGCGCAGTACCTTGAAGCAGCTATAATGGAAGCATTTAGGCCCCCATAACAGGACAGCGCTACAGCAATGGGGATGATCCAGTTCATGACACCCAGTGTGTGATCTGCAAATGTCTGTAGAGAACACATAAAGGTACCATTATGGAAATATATCAATATATCCTGATCAGACGCAGACTGTTAGCTCACCACTGCTACAGCATCGCTGGCCAGTATGGCACTGACATCCAGAACAGCGTAGTAGGCCACGTTGGTGAGAATGTAGATGATGGTGACAATGGGCATAGAGATGGCAATGGACAGCGGTAGGTTCCTATAACAGCAGCACATCTGATCATTTAGAAGTCTTCAGACTTAATTCTTTCTCAATGGATGACAAAGAATTGAAAAAAAAATACATATATATCACCTCTCTGGGTTTTTGATCTCTTCTGTCACAAAGTTGAGCGTGTCCCAACCAGAATATGAGAAGAGTGCCGAGTACAAGGCCAAAGCAATATCACCGGGGTCTGTGGACGAGCCCTGGAAGGATGACTTGAAGTTGTCTGTGTAGCCTGAAAAACAAAGGAAGCTGTTTTCAACTCTATCCAAAGAAGTAATTGTCATCACACTGTGGACATAAGGCAGGTCAGGACTCCTGTTGGTGACCTGATTAAGGTTTGCAATATGAATGAATGCCAAGTCATTGTCTCGCAAAAGCTGGCAGACTAGGTCTGACTGTAAATTTACAAAACACATGCAAATTGCATTTTAGACTTGAGTGAGGTTTGTTAAATGTCATAGTTGGGGAGTGTGAGCGTGCAGGACAAAAAGAAAGCAAAGTGGCTTGGCTCATTTGGGAAGATTGCCAAGATAAAACCTTTTTCCTAAAGAGAACAAAATCTCCTCTATTTGTTTACGTGACTCTGAACAAAAACCCTTTGATTTGAGTTATGCTCAAAATTGCATAATTTTGCTAGTTCGCAGGAATAATGTCTCAATTTATACCTTTTCACTTCAGTTAGCCAAAAGCTTGACCAAAAAAATAGAATTTCTAAATAAGTATATAACAGAACTGTCCTGCTTAGAGAGGCAGCATGTTGGACTCACTGTTATGTTGCTGTTTTTCTAGACTTTTGTTCATAATTTTTTGGGTTGAAGCATTGCTTTAGTTTTGCCTGGTCTCTCTGTCCAGCTTTCTAACCCTTACAGAGAAACGAGAAGAAAAAGCAAATTGCACTGATTAGCAAAGGTGTCATCCATGATAGGTATTCGGTCCGGACATCGAGGTGTTAGTATGTTATGACAGTCAGAGCCATAACTCTACTCACCCTGGCACAGCCTGACAATACCAGTAATGATAATGACGATGAGCGCCGCCACCTTTGCATAGGTAAAGATGTCCTGTACACGGGTACCCCACTTTACATAAGCAGAGTTTATGAATGTCAGTAAACCTGAGGAGAGAGGAAAACTTCACACATAACCCAACAAGGACATGAGCAAACAATAGAGGGACATTGCACATTTTAAAGGTACTTACATATGCATGCAGCAGCGACGAGGCGGGATGCTGTGTATGGGGGCTCACAAGTTGGGAACAGTGGTTGCACCAGGTAGTTTGCAAACGTAATGGCTATGACGGCCTGGCTGGTGGGTTCAATGATCAACAGTGACGTCCACAATCGAATGAATGCAATGAAGCCACCAAATGACTCCAGGATGTATGCATACGAAGCCCCTGATTTGGTGATTGTGGTGCCCAGCTCAGCATAGCAGAGGGCGCCAACAACCGAGAACAGTCCCCCAATGGCCCAGATGACTAGAGACAACCCGTAGGAGGTGCTGTAGATGAGCACCCCCTTGGGGGAGACGAAGATGCCAGAGCCGATCATGTTTCCCACGATCAAACTGACCCCATTGAGAAGCGAGATCTCCTTCTTGAGCTTCATGTGTTCTTTGGAATGATCCTGACAAGAGGAAGACTGACTGGCAGTGCCATCCGACTTGTCGGGTCCTTCACCGCCGGCCATGATGGTGGAGCTGAACCAGTGGGACCTGCACCGGAATGATTCTGCCCCTTAGTTCCTAATTGACAACCTTGGGCACGCCCTGTCCAACAGATCCAAAATGCAGTCTTTGTTATTAAAACGAAGCTTAAATGTTCAGTAGCAGCTTAGAAAGCAACAAAAGGCCTCCTGTATAATCTACACTCCACAAATGAGCAGCAGTGTTTAAAAAGAAATGGAGGTCTTGAAGGTGTGCTGTGTGTACCGTCGAACTTCAATTTTCATTTTTGCTAAAACATGAGAAGACACTGTAGTTTTAGATGATTTTATGAGGCTCACCTGTCATTCATCAAATCTGTGTCATATAGACATGACAAATGCACCAGGCATATGAAGGCTTGACCTTTGTAGATGCTAGCAAGGCAAGACCCTGATGTTCTAAGTTTTAAACTGAAATCATGTCTCCACCCTCCTCTCAGAAGATTTCCAAATAAATCTGGTGAAGGGAGGGACAGAGGGACAAAAATAACTCCTGGATACCAACAGGAAGCTGATGCATTGTTTATTGCTCATTCTTAAGGGAAAAAAAGTCACCTCAAGGGAAAAGACTTTAATGACCCAATGTTTTGCTTCAGTATTGCATCCTGTTCAAATAATCATTTGAAAATCTGTGTTTTCCATAACTTTTTACAGTGTGATAAATGTTAGATATTTATCTATATGTATATAATCAGACTGGATGGATATAGCTGGGACTACATCCACCTCAGCATAAAAGAGCAAATTATTTTCACACAGCAACTTTTTCTCCTTAAAGTATAAATAATGATGTCGGGTAAAGAGTTTAAATCCAACCTTTTTCATCCCGAATTCACTATTTTTCATACTTATTTAGACTTAGAAAAACAATCAAACCAAATCTAAGGTATATTCCACTTTTCAGGATGTGGAGAGCTCTTGGCTGAGACATTTGTTTGAGTGTTTGAGGAGCCATGACTCAGGTAAACATGACCAAACCCAGTCTGAGGAAAACACCATTTTCAACCACTTCTGTAGTTTACATGTCACTAACATTCAGTCCGGGATAAGGAAGTAGCTCCAAAACCTGCCAAACAAAGTTAGGACATAACACAGTGCTAACACTGAAGGTAACTTATTATTATTATTATTATTATTATTATTATTAGTATTATTATTATTATTATTATTATTATTATTATTATTATTAGGTTATTATTTCAATAAGTCAAAGATAGAGCGGAAGTCATGTCATTGTAACCGCAGCATCGTTAGTTTCTGTTTTTCCTCCTCAGATTTGGCCGAACATCTGCCGCGAGAGATTTGAAGCAGACATGAAAGGAAACTAGCCGCAGCGCGAGCCCGGTGTTTTCTGTCTGCGTTAAGCTAGCAGGCGTCACGTTCACCTTCCGCTCATGACTTTCAAAATACAACCAAATGTCGCGTAATTTTCTGTTCAGTTTTCTGTCTCCTCTCTATTTAACTATTCAAACGGAGCTTGTTCTTTTCTTTCAAACGTTTTTCATATTTAGTTTAAACCTCGTCTCCAAAAGCTAACAATTGGAGTCAGTGTCTGACGATATTCGCGTCGCCTTTCTTCTGAACTCACTTCCTGTCTGACTTCCTGTCTCGGCTTCGTTTCGCTGTCTTGTCGCAGACCTCTCTCTCTCTCTCTCTGTCTCTCTCTCTCTCTATTGTCCGGTTTCTCAAGCTACCAAAATGAAAACATCAACCAGATAAAGCATAAACCCCGGATGTAACTGTCCGGTCTTACCTCAGCTGTTTTTTCCCCTTCTAATTATTATTTCCTGCTGGTGTTAATGACCGGCGGCCCTCACAGCTGATCCATCTGCAGCCAGTAAACAACAGCCTGCTGCTGCTGCTGTGAGGGGCAGCATCATGTGACGAGGCATAAGCATCCTGTAACACAACATGTACTGTCTGTACAATACATCTTAGGACACGTGATGATATTTACATAAATTATGTTAATATACATAGCGCTGGGGGATATGAGGAAAATCTAATATCTTGATATATTTTTTGGTACATCGCGATACACGATATTCTTAAATGAGCTCCAATGTTATTTTAAGCTAGACTCCTTGCAGCATAATGTCACCCACGCAAGTTGCCCTCTCTCCCCCCCTCTTTTCCTGCTAGACTCAAATATAAACTCAAATAAAAAGGGATGCAGTGTTTTGCTATGAACTGTCTACACCAAGGGTTTTCAAAGGGTGAGCCCCCCCTCCAAGGAGCACAATGCCTGCTGCGCCCCCCCCCCCCACACACACACACAAACAAATGCCACTACAAAACACCTTCTAATTGCTTTTATTTTATAACCATCTCATCTTTTAAAATGACACTTTATCTGAATGAAATTTAACACATGAACATTTTAAAACATTTCCTCCAATTTTAAGTATTTTATCAGGGCCTTTGGATGGCAAATACGCCCCTTTTTTCACTTTTCTAATGACAAGAACAACCCCAAACTCATTTTTCAACCGTTTTCTCAAACAAACGTTACATCTGAGATTCTGAGTGAAATGTTTGAGATACCAACAGTGTTTTCACATCTTAACAAAAACATTTTGATCAGATCTTTGGAACACATCTGTAAATGTTGCATTTCCTTGAAATTTAAAAAATAAATCAAAACCTAAACAGTTGCAAAATTGTGGAGCTCTTTTTGTGGCTCATCTAAACAATTTAAACAAACAATTTATCTCGAGCTAAAAGAGCGTGCTGTATGAAAGAGCGGAGGCATACAAAAGAAAAAACATTTACGCACGCTATGCGCCCCCCTTTTTTTCTACCACGGTCCTGAATCATGTGTAAGTCATTTTATTTATGATTTTAACTAAATTGTCAACATGGCAACATTACTGTTCAGCTCACCTTCGTTTTAGTGGGAACAATGTGCTTGTGCTTTTGATGCGCAAATCCGGTTAATGCGGAGTTGCACTGTGGAGCGGTATAACCGCAGATCATCTCCAACCAGCAGCCTTGACCGGGATTTGCTTTTTATCATTGCGAGAGCGGAAAACCCACATTCACAGAGATAGGCTGAAGTGAAGGAGATGAACACGTTTACTGAAAATTTGTCAATTTTTTTCTCTCACATCATTAGACAGCAAGCGGACAGCTTCTTCTTCGGTTTATTTTTTTTCCTCGCACCGCGCCTACCCTAATGTGCTCTGGCGCCCCCCAGGGGAGGCGCGCCTCACACTTTGAAAACCGCCGGTCTACACTATGAACATTTTCCACATATGTTGGGATTTTTATATAGAGTTAGTGTCAGAGCTTGTCTCCGGTCTTTAATCTCAAGTCCCAGGAATTCAATAGTCCACATTTCCCAGGAAGACATTCTCCACTCAGTGAGTCCTCTTCTATCTTTACCTATTGGCCACACAAACTCCTACTTTACTCTGCATTTTGCTCTTTCAGACGCAGCAGCAACATATTCGCTGAACGGTGCTGTGTCCTGATATGAGATACTAATTGGTAGTAACTGTTTCTAAGTTGTGTATGCCAGGCAGCCATATTGGATTTTGACATCAAAATCCAGAAACCTACAACTAGCCAGAAACCTACAACTCTTCCATTCAGACTTTTATCAATTCTAAATCTGTTTTGTGTTGTCAATACATGGAGATATTGACAGAAAGCTTAGTCTTTAACCAGGAAGAATCTTTAACCAGTTGGAAGAATCTTTAACCAGTTGAGCAGTGGCAATGATGCAATCACTGCGTTTACTGAAGTCTTAAATGTTTTAAAACGGTTGAGGACAACTACTCAGACAGTGTTGATACGTCAAAATCTAGACCTAAATCAAACTGAGATTCTGCCTCTATCAGCTTTTAAAGCATAATGACTTGTGTAGCTCTGTGGTACCAGATGCTAACAGATGTTTCCGGGCTTCCCAGTTTGACCCAGAAAGTGTGTGTGAAGAAGAGAAATGTAATTAGGACTTTGCCAGAAGCATGTGGCAGAGGAAGGGTTTGTGTTTCATGGTGTCAAATCAACAGTTCAGAACAGAAACTCAGGACGGTTCTGGATGATCATCAACTGTTACACAGGTGGGGAATAAAACATATAGTTTTCACTGGGTCACACAAAAGTAAAACACAAAAATAAAGACAAATAGACAATACTCGATACTTGAATAATCTTCATTTTTAAAAGATGAGCGGCTAATTATTCAAATAAAGGAATGGTTGTTTCATTTTAAGTTTTCCTATTTGTCTTTTTTCATTATTCTGTTAGATTTATTTACAAATTAACCTTTTTTTCCAATCACTCATATGATGGTGATGAAAAAAGTAACAGATGTCCCCTCAGCCCAGGTGATGGGAGATATGAACTCTGGCTAAAACAACGTTGCTGTTGGACAATGTCTTCTGGCTCTTCTCTCTGCAGTGGAACTGGAGAGATCCATCAGTCACAGGCTGCTGCATCCCACCTGCACAAAATAGCTTTAAAGGAGATCCTTCCTCCCAGCAGAAGTTAGCCTTCATCACCATCACTCAGCAAACTGTAAATGTTTGATTGAAGCGTTTGTGCTTCTTATAAATTGTCTATTATTTTTATGCACACACCCATTTCTGGAATCATTGATTCATTCCATATTTTCTTATTGACCATTGTTCAGAATTATATCAAATGAAACCATAAAACAAGAGTTTTATTTGAACAACAGCAGAGAGGGTTAGTTGCAACTAACCCTTACGATGAGTTGTAGTGAACAGTTACTCCCACTAGATGTCACCAGACCCCAGATGTGCCTTTCAGCCTAATTATGGTGACATTTTATGTCTTGCAAAGAGGTTAGAGGTTTAATTTTACACATTTTATCATATTCACAACACAAATGTAAATATATTTCATTTAGATCTCTATGAGATTAACACAATTTGGTGCATATTTATGAAGGGAAAATGATTCATATTCTTCAGTTTAGACTTTGAAGCACCATCTTCAGCTATTGGTCCTTTGGACGATTTTTCTACAAGCATTGTACATTTTCTTCCATTTTTCTTTTCTTTTCTTTGGCAGAACATCCATGAGAAGCTATTCTCAGTGATGATAAAAGTCAGCAACTTCTGGGTCTGAAGTGTTTATTCATTAATGAAAAAAAATGGGCAAGGAGGAGAATATGAGACAAAAACTAAAACAAGTTCTTCTTTACATTAATATAAAATGTTTTATTAATACTCCTTACAGACATATACAAAAAGGCCAGATTTACATAAGGATTTGACTCAAAATATTATTTCAAAATAAAAAAGTGCAAACACCATAGCATCCAAAAACATGTGTGTTCTTCTGGGAAGGAACATAATTTATTCACCAAAATTCTAAATGTGGGGATTGAATTATTTCTGGAGCAGTACATTTTTTATTTTAACTTAAAACACATTCCATACTTTATTCTTCTTCTTGAAATACACCAAAACACATCACATTTTCTGTATAAAACATTTCATTTTTCATCACTAATGCCCACTGGGTGTACATCAAACTAACTGAGGCTAAGCAACACAACAGCAGTCTAAAGTGCTATTTCACTATTCAACTATAAATGACAAAAGCACTGAACAAAATGAAGAAACATCTGAAATATAAAAGCTTATTTTCAATGATAACATCTAATCAGAGCACAGTAGCATACAGACATTAAGCTTCATGTTTTTGTGTTGTAATAAAGTTTAACGACGTTTCGAAATGATTCTGAACCTGAAGTAAAGCAGTTTAATCTTCAACTAGAACCAGCCTAGGGATTCTGCAGCTCAGGCTCCGGGCCTGAGTTTGGACTTCCTGAGGAACTGGGAGGCGGGTTCTTTCTTACCCGCAACTCATACATCTACCGGTCTAGTTTACAACTGAAGTAATGCGTTAAAAGAACCGCATTCTATCATGTTTTCATCAGACGAAGGATTCGTCGCACAAGCTTGATTTTCTCTTTATTCACAAATATCCCTGCGTAAAAAATATCGCCTGCGTCTCAAATGAGGGTCAGATTATATATTCAATGTGAATATAATGAAGCAGAGACAAAAGAAATTTGCTTATATTGTATTTTCAGTTCTTTAATCCAAAACAGAACCAAAACTATTGAAGGGAACCAAGAATTATCTTGTAGCTTCACAGCCATGTGATGACTGCAGTGATGACTAAAAAGTCAACACCATCGTTTCCTTATTACAAACAGGAAAAAAAAAACACATCTGTTAAATATTCTCTTTCCTGAAAAATGAATAAGATAACTTCCCATCAGTGCTTCTTTAAAATGTCTGACCAAAGTCATTCCTGCCAAATGACTGGACGTCACATCGGCATCCACATCTACAGTAAGCTTGGGATGCACTTCTACAGAAACCCAGATCCAGATGTTACTTTTTAACCTTGTGGCTACAGGAAGCAGCGATTCTTTTCATTTTTCCTCGGCTTTTCTCAGGTGAGGCAGAATTTAGCTGAGTCACAGTATAATTATGGAATTGTACATATTTATGCAACCTTACAGTCAAAAACAATCCTCGATTATTTATCTTCTGATCAGACGCGATGTCACACTGTGTGTGTGCGTGTGTGTGTGCGTGTGTGTGTGTGTGTGTGTGTGTGTGAGAGCGGACATTAAAAACAGTCTGATATTAGAATGTAGCATCACTTGTGAATTCCCCTGACAATTTATCCACACCAAAGCGTGTGATCAACATGCTTGTAGTAGCCATTATGCTAACGTTAGCATTTCAAATAAAATGAGCATTTTAGCTACTTTTTTATAGAGTAGACTTTGTTGTCTCACTGACAGCAAAAATATGTTCAGACCCAGCTGTCAGCGTCCATCAGGCTGAAAATGGTCAGATTCTGGCAGTATCTTTATTCATGGAACATCTGGTTGTTTTCACAGACCAGTTATATGCCAGAAGTTAGATGATGTTGGGGTTTTGTGAAAAGCTCCAGGATCTAAATGAAGCAGGTCCATTAGAAAACAATCTGCTGTCAGAACCGAACCCACACACGACACAATCACTTGTTCTTTGCTGAAAAAAAGTGATATAACTGATATATTATTACAAGGTACATTTAATAAAAATATGTTGAAGAAAAGTTGATAAAGAAAAGCTTAAATAATAGATTTTGGTCTCTGAGAAGCCCTTGAAATGGAACAAGATATCAGTAGCATGTTAGGAGTATCATATCATTTCATCATCAGATGAAATGGAATGAACCACTGACTTAGAGTCAGTGGTCCTACCACTTAGTTCTGCCTCATAGTGATTGAAAGGATCTTATTGGTTCAGCCAGAGCTTGTTCTGTTACTTGTTTTCTGTAAGAACATCACAAACTGAGCTCAACTCTGATTCTGGACTGGTTCTTGTCAGGTACAATGATCCATGTCTTGACCCCGGAGCGGCTAGCTCTTCTCGGTCGTCTGCAGCATGTGTTGCTTGACGGACCCGGAGCTGGTGCTGCCTAGGACCGACCTGTTAGCCTGTTTCCGGACCCAGTTCATCATGTAGAACCTCAGCATCAGGAAGAAACCTGGAAACAGAAACAGGATTCAGTCTCTAGGTCACAGGTTTGGTTCAAAATGATTTATGAGAAGGTAATGAAAGCAGAATATGAAGAAAGAACTGACCCGAAGCAATTCAAAGGATAATATGGACAAGAAATATAAATGCTGACTGCATGCTAAATACTCACTACTGTTCTTTATTTATTTTTTTTTACTTTTGGATTGCTTGTTATATTCTGTTTGTGTTCAATACATTCACAAATTCCCTTTAAGGAAGGATAGTGCTAATCATTCTCATGAAAAGGAATGTTACTGACAGAAAGCGAACTGAAAACAACTTTTAGCTCTGGATGAAAATCTTGTGTGGTTCATCTGAGAGGAAGCAGTTTTTAGTGACCTTGATTAGACAAGAACACTCCATCATTCCTACACTGATACAATGGAACTTATCTCTCTGAGACAACAATGAGTGTCCCTGTGCATCAACAGATTAAAATAGTAAAAAAAAAAAAAAACTGAATTTAATCACACGAGATAATAAACCCTGAGCTTTAGCAAAAACTAACCATAAAAAGTGCAAACAGGACAGGATGTTCACCACTGACACAAACCTTGAAAGGAGTTCAGGAAGCAGGAGAGGAAGAGGATAAAGTCTGACAGTGGCTCAATGTTCAGGAAGGTCAGACCCCAGGTTACTCCAAAGAGGCAGCTGAGACCCCAGATGCTGAGGAAAGCCACCCGGTTCTGCTTCCACTCGTCCCTGGTGCGGATCTCCCGGAACACCAGGAAGAGCATCAAGACGCCAGAAGACACCAGGACAGCTAGCAGGGCCATGGTGGTGAAGCAGTGAGCTAGTAAGACGTTTTGTTCGTTCAGTTTCATCCAGCACCTGCAAAAAACAAAAACATAAGTCAAAGGGAATGATCCTGAATTCAACTTTTATGGGTTCCTAAACTTTTCCATTCCGCAGCCTCTCAAACAGTGTTAGCTCCAGGCTACGGACTCCAGTAGCTTTTGAAATGATTTCTCTTAGTTTTATTGACTAGCCTGAGGAGCAACGCTAGCAGTATAGCAAATAACTTTCCAATGAGTAAAAAAACCCACAGGAGAATCATTCAGATATAACAGCAGGACCAAGGTGAGCAGGTTTAGACTAAAGATAAACAAGTGTTAAAGATGTATAAAGAACAAGATCAACAATAATGTTAATCATAATACATCGTGCAAGATTATAACTAAATACAATTATTAAAAATAGAAATACAATTGACTAGGAAGACTATTTTAAACCTAATTTAGAATTTTAACTTATATTTTATAGCTGTGATGCAAAAAACAGATTCGATTTAATGCTAAAAAAACATAATTACAAATTTATAATTCAAATTTATTAGATTTTTTTTTTCCAGTTTCCCTTTCTGAGGCCTCTCTAATGCTCTCTGGCCGCACCCCACAATATGAAAAACACTGCTCTGGCAGACATGCACGTTATTTACCACCCAGAAATGTTGAATCAGATGTGAGAAAGCTTACATCCGATAAGGATCATCTTCGTCATCAGCCTGTTCAATTTCTGCCATTCCATAAATATCTCCCACACCAGCCAGGATACCAACAGGAACAACTGGGAGGACTGGGACAGAATGTTCAACAGGTTAAACATGAACATGACTTTTAAGTCAAAGGTCAGACAGTGAAATAATGCTTTCCATTCTCACCAAAACCAATCAGGTACCAAACGTAGGGCCGCGGGGAGGGTCTGAACACCATGTAGACCAACCAGAAGGTGTTAAGCACTTCTATCCCCATCCAGGTGAGGGAGCTGAGCAGGGCGTAGTGGAGCAAGGCCCCCACCCAGGTGCACACATTGTCACCTCCCACATTGGCCAGAACCCCAGTAAAGAAGAAGATCAGGCTGAGGAGGGCCAGGGCCAGAGTTAAGCCCAGGTGGATGGCTACAGACTGCTCTTTGGTCCGTCTCCTAACGGGACACAGGAAGAGACACAAGCAGGTTGGCAAAGAACAAACACAGGAGAAAACAACAGGGGAAAAAACAGCTGAACAGACCAACGTTTTATTTTGTTCAGTTTAAGTATTTCTAGAGGCTCTATTGACATGAATCTCATACCAGATGTGAATAACAACCCAACTAATCCACACATACCAGCAAATACAAATAAACAAGTCAATATGGTGGAATGGTACAGCAAATATACAAATAAGCAAAGTATTAATTATTGCTTCTTGATGAGGTATGAAAATGTTTCTCATTATCCAAATTGAGGGGTGATGAGTTCTCTCAAGATTTTATCAACCTTCTAGCTGCAAAATGTACCGATGGCCTTGGTTACAGAAATGCATGGATGTGTGAATATATCAGTGATTTAAAAGTGAAAAAGACATTTGACTATAAACCAGTCACAACTAGGCGTTCTACTTTTGAAGCGGTATTTCTGGCCAATCAGAAGGCTTGTCACAGAGGTACAGAGCTCTGCTAGAGATATTTAGAAAGAGCTCAAAGTAGCAGACACCAGTTTTCCATGAAAGTCACTGCTGAAACACAAGACTCCATTGATTTGCAGTAAAGAGAATTCATTTCCTGAATCATTTTTTCCCAACTCATGTAGGACCTAAAATAAATTAACCACAAAGTTTGAAAAGTCCTAAATCCACCTAAGTGAAACTTTTAGAAACTCTAAAAGTGCTCAGAGTTGGTTCACCTGTTCCTGCAGAAAAACACGATGACCCCGATGCAGCTGATGAAGGACGCTGCACAGCCTACATATGTAATAGCAGTAAGTGCCAACAGGTGGCGCACTGGTTTAGGCTCCAGTTGCTGCAAAAAAACAGTGCAATTGTTGTTGTGCAGTAAAAAAGAAAATCTTTTGTGTATAAATTCACTTTTATGTATAAGAGAAGTAAAATTCTGTCTGATTCTTTGATTTAAAAAAAAAAGAAAGCGTGAGCAGCATGTCTCACCACTAGCACTGTGAAGTAAGTCAGATGGTCACACTGGCACTCTGTATGCCATGATCCTTTCCTCTTTGTCTTGCATCCGAAGTCCAACCAGTTCACCTCCAAAGGATCTGCACCAACGAGATGACACAGAGAATGGAATCATTACTGAATAAAACACAGTGTTACATGATCAGTTTGTAATCTCAATTCAAACGTTTCTGACCTCTGTGAGTGTCCCAGGCAACACATTTTCTTCTGAGGTTCCCCTGAAAAAAAAAAAAAAAAAAAGACAAAGTTTTATTCTCACAGATAGTTTTGGACTCATGTTTGCTGCAAAATTAGCCACAAATTGCATGTTTCCTGTCACCATTTTTTTAAAAAAATGAACGCGAGTATGGCAGCCTGATGAGCAGCTGTGTGCGGTGCACAGAACAAGCAGGTGAAGTTTCTGTCTGGTGTTGTACAAACGGGAGAGAAACCCGCCGGTGGTTTTGGTGTGTTATCTAAATCTCTCTGAGTGACAAACAAGTTGTTTTTGTGAGCAAATTTAGAGATAAGCTACTTCTGCAGTTTTCTCCGCTAACTCACTGTGCACTGGGCCTTGAAAACTAACAAAAACCCAATAACTTATTTAATGTCAAACTAAGACTTACAACCACAAACCTCTGAATGTTTATGTATTTTTTTGGTGATCGTCCAAAACAAAATTGTGCATTTACTGTCAAGCGGAAGGAAAACTAAATGGTTTCCAACTGAACTTTAATAGCAAAAACAAAGTGTGAAATGAAAATGTATTTCTCTGTTTTACTCTTTCACCAGTAAACAGCTGGTATAAACGTTGGTTGATACCACCATTGTTGTATGATTTATTATAAAAGTGTGGAAAAATACTATTAGAGAGAAGGTTTGACAAAGCAGTCAAACAAACTTACAGGTATGTAATCATGGTCAAAGAAAATCTTGACCGGCTCAGGCAGATCAGCGATGATCTCATTCTCCACTGAGATTTCCACCACATCCATGAGAGGTTTGGCTTCCTCAGGGCCTGCCTGCAATTCACCCACAGACATGTTTACCTTTCAAAATCCACATTACACAGAGAACCAGGGAAAGTGGACTTAGTAGGAAGACAAAACAGCAAACTAAAAGCTTATTGGATCTCCTTACAGTTTCATGTGCTGACAGAGAGAAAGGTGGGAACATGGAGATGTTCTTAAAGAATGTCACGGACACTTTGCTCGTCAGGGCAGGAGGGAGGTCGACGGTGACAGAGGTCTACAGACAGAAAACATGCACACAACACAAACATGATACAGAGTTGAGACATTTACTTCCTACTCAATCAAGAAAACACCCTTACACGTCAAGACCTGCCACAAAAGCAGAGTACTGCTTTTCTACAAGAGAATGAAGACATTTCTTAGCCTATCAGACCCATCACTGTGCCACCCTGCAGCTGTTTGTTGCTGTGTACACTTGTAATGAGTAGATGTGTCTGTTAATTGCCAGCTGCTTCTTTAAATGACTTTATTTTAAGACACTTTGCTGGAAAATGCCAGCTCCCTACTTGACTTGGCTTTCATGTGGCAAACCTCTCACCTATTTCTCTCCTCTCCATCACTACTGCCCTCTACTTGAGTGAACATTAAGTCCCCGCTCGTTTAAACCCTGCGCTCCTCGATGACGAACCGTTTTCTCAGCGGCCAACAACCTTTAGTTCAAGTTGCACGCAACTTCTTTTCACTCCCCCAGATCAGAAGAAATGTTGTTCTAAGGTGTGAAAGTATGTTTGTTCCAGAAAGATGTGGGTGAAATGTGATATCTGCAATACAATCATGCTGCTACTGATGTGGTTGAAACGCTGCAGCCTGTAACAAATGAACACGTAAAACCAACATTTTTATGTTACGTTCTTCAGAGTGACAAGTTAAAAACGAAAAATACTTTTAAACGACTGACGGCTGTCAGAGCAGAGCTGCTTAAGAAGCAATAGAAGTTGCGGTTTACGCATAAATGGATTCCATCACAGAGCTGCAGCTGCTACACGTTAATGTAGGAATTTACAGTAATTAAGCCAGTAAACGCTTAATTAGTTATGATTATCAAAGAGAAGAAGTGTTGCAGTGGGCTCATAGTGAAACCAAACTGGGGGGAAGCGACCTGCAAACTGTGGCTGTGGGTTCCCACGTTTCTGGTTTGTTGTTATTTTCTTTCTGTGACCCAAAAGGAGCTGAATCTAGAGTAAAGCTGCTGGACTTATAGTTTCGACTCTAATCTCTAATTGTTCCTCATAGCTAATCTGCTAAATATGTTTGTGTTATGAAGGATGAAGATTCTGCTCTCGAAGAAGATCAGGATGTTTTAGATAACAGTAATTTGGTGGTGGTGATCCAACTCAGCAGAAAGTACCAGACTACTGCTAACACTAAAAGAGATAAAAACAATGATGTTGTTTTGTTTATTTTTTATAACGCAGAGCAAGTTTTACATTTTACAATTTATGTCTGTGTTTTTTATTACAGATTTGTGACTAAAGGCTGAAGATGTTGTGACAGCTTCTACTTCAGTGCTTCTCAAAATATCAGTATGAAGATGCAATAGTATAATTGTAATAATGTTCACATTTTTGTTTTCTAAAACAGAGCATATGACTAGCTATTCTTCAGAAAATGTAAATATAATGTTGATATGAAACCTTTTGCTTTGGTCCACTTGTTGAGACTCGTTCTCTTTTGGAATCATTCTTCATCTCTTTCTCATATTTCTGAGCACATGGATGTTCGGTGTTGTGAAACCTGTCCCAGAAATATCAACAGAAACATCTTCAAATAAAAGAAGCAACTTTATCTGAGAGGCACAAACAACACTTCCTGTTTGTAGATGGGTCCTTGATTATAATAGTATTCTAATCAGTGAAATTAGCAGTCAACACCAACACAGATGAGGAAGGGTGTTGTCTAAAACACTGTCATGAAATGTGACAGATGGGTGGAAAAAAACGTACCCTTTGACAGAGGTCTGGTTAACAAGGTCACACAAGTTCTCTGTAGAGGAAGAAGTTATAGGATTGGGTCACTTAGTTCACATGAACACATTTAAACAATGAAATGTACAACAGCTAAACATGTGATTAATGAACAATTTATGTTGCTAACTTCAACCCATTTGTACATGTTTCACTTAATAAAATCCATCCATCAATCTTACTGCAGTTGGTGATCGCTCCCTTGAAGCTGTAGCCTTCCAATGTTTTATCTGCGTAGTTATCAGTTCGGACTCTTCCTTTGTCGATACCATATTTTGCTTCAGGCATGTTGGGCTCATTACTTAAATCTGTGCAACAGTTTTGTTCAGGACGTGAAGGAGGGCAAAGTACAAGATTTCTTTCCCCGACCTTAAAAAGAAAATATATATATTTTTAAAACTAAACAACTGGCTTTTAAAAGACAAATAAAGAAATACACAATGACATACATGTGAGCTCAACCTATCAAAACACAACCAGCATGGTCTTTTACTGACTCACCTTTAGCATCATCTGGTCCAGCAGAGGCTCCCAGTGCAGACAAAAGTCTGTATCTGGATTCCTCTCAACATATTTGTTGAGATGAATCACCTCCGTCTTATGACAGTTGGCGGTGATTCTTCCTCTGACAGACAGAGAACTCTCATTGGCTAAAACGTTCAGCAAACCACAACCTGGAGAGACGTCGATGTTCAGGCTCAGGGAATTGTTGCCATGGCGCCATTTGCCACAAAATTCCAGAAAAAGGTCATGTTCACTTGAACCTGCTGAAAAGACAGATATGTTTATTATAGATGTGAACTATGAGTTTAGATAAACTTTATTTACTTTCTAACACATTTAATTTACAGTTACCTCATAAAGCTGCAGTAATCATTTCTTCAGAATATGGCTGTCTTAACACTATGAAGAGTCTATCACTATTACTATCCCAACAGCAAGGGCCATTTCAACAGGAAGTAATCTTGACAATGATAAATTTAAATTCTTATCACGGTAAGAAATTTATCACGATAAATATGCACACCTCTACTGTGTAATATTTAGATCCCACTGCCACACCAGTCTCACACTTTCCTCTGTTTTGTGTATAAATGCTTTTAGTAAAACAATGATGCCGACTGCCAATCGCAAGGCGAGTGTTGATATTCTTTCTATATCAGTTTTAGATACTATATTAATATAGCAGAGTTAAACTGTAAATCCCCTTAAACTGTGATATTGGAAGATTCTTTTAATGTACTAAATAGCATGACTGTACCTTCCAAAATAGGTCAGTAAATATTAGCAGCTGTGATATGCCACTTTCCTGTACTGAGTAAGATAGAGATGTTGTGAGCACCCTGCAGCTGAAAAATAAATCACATTAATCAAGTAATGATTAAATAAATGCATGGATTATAAATGTCCAGATCAGTTCAATCTGATTAAAAATGCTTTATTTAACCCAAAGGGAAATTAAATGTTGTCACATTGCATATATTTCTTATATTAAAATGTTATCTACATAAAAGTAAATTAGAATATTTACTGAGCAGATGGATACAGCGATGGCAATTTACATTGAAATCACGCTGGTCATTCTCAGTGACCACAAAGCGCAGAAGCATATGCTGTACAAGCTGCAATGATTTATTATATTTAGTCATTTCTATCTCTGAATGATTTGATGCGACTTTAGGAAAAGGGTGTTTCCCAAAGTTTTGGATTAGTGAGTAAATAATAGTTCTGAGTGATGTGAATTCCTATTTCACTTTTACTCAAGAAAGAATAAAAAGATCATTTTGCAAATAATTCTTGAAATAGTGATTGCACAAGTGAAAAGCACAGAGGTCAAGAAGATTTCAAATGTGTCAGCAGAGATAGTGACCACACCTATTACTGAGGACAAAGTCGAAAAGCAGATCATAGTAAACAGGACTGTTTTTTTATAACTCTAACGATTGCTGACAAAAATAGCTTGGTTATTTAATTTCTGTCTGATATTTAAAAACACTGAGGATACGACACACAACATTATTTCTCTTCATTTTTATAATGAAGGATTCAAATTTTTCAGAAACTTTGAATCTTACAAAAGACTCGGTCAATAAAAAAGGGAGTTTTAATGCAGAAATGTGTGTTTAATGAACAACTCAGGACTCCGTTTGCAAGAATTCCTGCCTCACTGGCATGAAGGAGCTCATCCTGGGACTCTGCTGAGGATGAGCAGAGTCCTCAGGTTGCTTCGACAGGGCTCAGATAAGGCCCGTTTGCCAGCAAACCAAGCAAGATGACACCACGGTCATTAAAGTAGGAGGTGTGTTCCTTGGCAGCTATTGCCTCTATAAGGCCGTTCAGCATGAAATGACTCCTTGTCTGACTTTGGGGAAACCAACACTAGCAATGCTCCTCAAGTCATCAACCCTTGTAGATTCTGTTCCTCTCCACTATTCCTCCAGAAGTTGATTTCCTCATGAAATACAACTTCATTTGAGTTTAGTTTAGTTTCATTTGAAAAGAAGAATTTGGACTCCTGAGCCATGTTCTTTTCTCCTTAACCTTGGTGAGACACTTGTCATAATATCTCTATTCAAAACAATAGAGCGTTTTGAATGTTTTTTTACTTCAAAATGCTCTAAAGTGGCGATGTTTTTTCCCTTGCACTTTTATTAATATGCTTGAACAAGTGGATGAGCTTTGATAGTTGAGCCTTGTTGTCAGGGTGTCAGAGACTGTCTACTGACAACTGTCAGTCTTCTGAGTTATTGTGTAGCCATAACAGAAAATTTCTAAATAAAAATGCTGTTTTATTGGTTGCATGTGCTATGTTTATTAATGCTAAGCCATCAAAACCCAGTCAACCACACTAGTCTGCATACAATATGTACAAGTTTCCCAGTTTGAATGGATTTGAACCCAGATATGAGAGGAACTTGCTCTGATGGAAACAGCATAAGCACAAAATAATGGAAAAATATAGATACTAAGACTTATTTCTGTTATTTCTCATTATTTTTTGTCAAATTTTTCTCTGTTCATTGAAATCACTAATGCCAGAAGTCAACAATGTTTGGATTCGTTGCATTGCACCACAGTGAGCTGAAGCAAGAGCTGAGAATAGACAAAGTTGTGGTCTTACCTGCTGTCAGGAGGCTGATGATAAAAAACACAGTCGTTAGATGATCCGCCACTCGGGTCTTCATGGCTGACAGCTGTGATAGAGATGCAAAAAAAGTGAAATACAGTGAGAAACAAAAGGAACAAACCTGTGGTTTGCAAGTAGAGTGGCATTCATCAAATAAATTAAAAGTGGCTGCTCATCAACCACCGGGTTCAATGAAAATAAAAAAAGTCAGTTCCTGACTTTACAAAGGCAAATCTGAAAAGAAGAAAAAAAAAACTCTAAATTGCCTTTTTGTGCAGACACACTTCCTGAATAAAACAAAAAGTATCCTGAGGTTCCTCATATTTGACATAATGCAACATTTTTTTAATGATACTATTGTTATCCAGCGGCCTGACCTGTTATCTCTCCTGTTATATCACTGAATACAAATGAACTCAGGCTGAAAATACACACAAGGACCCTTATGAGCTCTTATCAATGGAAACAGGCCTTCCCTTTAACAGTCAGGCTCCTACATGCATCAGCAGATCGTTCTCGCCGCCTCCCTTTAGCAGGCAGCTTTTACTTTCTCAAGGAGGGTGGTAGTGTAGCCTGATAGAACTTTACTGCAAAAGTAGAAGTTTCCACTGAAACTGTAAAACTGAAAAAGTGTTAATAAAATAGGCAGGTATGCACATGTTCCCTCTGTAGGAGGAGAACCAGTAGAGTGCATTACCAGTGGCGTGCTTGGTGAATAGGGCCTTCTTTTGGTGATCCCTTGTTCTAATGAATGGCGCTACTGCACTCGGAATTGTTGTCTGACTGTCAAAGTGAGGCCAGATAGATTTACTTTCACAAGTGGAGCGTTACAGCTTTCACCATGATGTTCCACTTGACTTATATGTAAAACTGCATTATAAATAGCTTCTAATTTATTTCAAATGTAATGGACGCAGAGACAAAAAATAAAGGAGAAAAGAAAGAGTGAAAGGTGAAGGAAAAGGTTTAGAGGGAAAGAAGGAGCAAACGAAGCATAGAGAAAACACAAGCTGACATCCCAGGCGTCTTTACTGCTGTGTTTTGACGCAAACATGTGACAATGATGTCATTAAAGCCCCTTAACTGTCATGAGGACACTGCTGTTCACACGGACTCATTGGAGAACATGTAGATATTTTGAAGAAGAGTTAAAAAATTTGATGAGGATGTGAAAACTGAGCAGAAACCACGTCTCCCTCAATACCGACAAAGAAGGCCTCTGAATAAAAATACACCAGGTTGCATCATACTTTCAGAGAATCATGTAGTTCCTACCAGACGTACTTGCAAAGTGACCCGTCACATGTACAGTCTGCTGCTTGAAGTGTTCTCGGTTTCAGCCCAAGATGCCAGCTCATCAGACTAACTTCCGAGTGCAACGCGCTAGATGCTCATCACCAACGTGCCGGTGAACAAGCTGCACTCCACAAACAGCTGCAGGTTTAAGTCTGAAAACAAAGCAGAGGCTGCTAAAGGGAGCACTCTGGGTTTCTGTACTACGTGTGTGACAGACAGCATTTGTGGAAAGAGATGCAGACGATTGTGGAGGTGAAACGGAGCAGTTACAGATCTCCAAAACATCACAGGACAGACAGGAACTGGTTCAACCACAGACAGTGCAGAAGGACAAGCAACAGAAAGAAAAGAAAAGAGATGAAATGCTACAGAGGCAAGAAACAATACCTAGTCACTCAGACATGGAGGAGTCAGACATCTATATATAGACAAGTACACTAGGAAACACACCTGATAAATGAGGAGAACTTGAGGTCAGGTCAAATACATATTGGTTGTAGTGCTTTTTGGTGCCGTTGAAGCAAAACATTCCCATTCTCATTAATGAATGGATTTTTATGCAAGTGTCATGTTTATTACTCTTCATGAAGCCAATCCACAGCGAAAAACCATAAAACACAGATTACTGTACATATGCAAAACTTTACCCAACTACAATACACTCTCTTCTGGTTTGTTGTTAAATATGTGACATAGCGACTCCACTTTAGGTGGTTACAGATTGAGAAACGGCTGCTTTGCGAACCCACAGACGGAGACAAAAGCCTCCTGAGGAAGCCGTGCAGCGGTTTCATACAGCACAGAGGCTCTGCTCCAAACCAGGGACTTGTCCATTTCTAACTTGCTACATAGCAACAGCTCACAATACCAATATCTAACTCCAGTCTTAATACTTAGATTAGTCAAATTTATGTGGGGGAACAGATTTGTTGCGTTGTCAAAAGGTGCATACACCATAAATGTGCATTTCTTACACATTATGTCATTTTGATGAATGCCTGAGCTGTGATGGTGGCCATCTAGATTTGGGACAATACTGGTTTTAAAGCGCTATCTGGAATTTATATTCAAAGGAAAACTCCCTTTGTCACTTCCTGTGGTTGTTCTGCCTCTGTTGTGATAAGGAATGGTTAGAAATACAGACACACTAACTGACAGGAGCCCGTTAAAAAAACCATGTGGGAACAGTGAAAGCTCAAGTCAGGTCTGTTAAACTTTCAATAAGGAGCCATCGTTACAAACTGCACTGCAGAAACACAAGATCTTGTCAAGTATTTTTGGCCTAGTTTCTAGGCCAAAAATAAATAAGACAAAACTAACTTGTTAGTGACTTTTCAACAACACGTAGGAGCTTTTTTTAAAATAAATAACTCATTAATATTGATTTTAAAAGTACTAGCAAATTATTTCACTTATAACAAGACATTTATCCCATGTTACAAGTGAAGTAATTTACCAGAACTCATAACATTTCACTAAAACTGACTCATTTTATTATTTCTATGCTTTTCATTTTTGCATGAGATAAGAGTAATAATTTCTCTAATTTACTGTTTATTCATTCATTTAAACAAGGGCGGTGTCAATTTGACCTTTTCCTTGAAAAAATACAATTGTCAAAACATCATCTCGTAGTCTTCATTGGAATCTATCTGTGAATGTCAGAAACATTCTCTGACTTTGAAGTGGTTGGAAAGTGTAAACGCTGTGACGGGATCACAAGGTTATCGCTACAACTCAAAGTTCTCAATTCCAACCCCAGCTGTCGCTCTGCAGAATGCAGAAGACTGCGTCCTGCGAAATTCATTTGTTACCAACGCACTGTTCAGTAGGCTATGCAGTAACCCTACAGAAGTTATAAGTTACATTTGCTGAATCAGAAATAATCAGCCAGTTCCATTGGTCGTGTTGGACTCCATTTTGGAAATGCAATTAAAAGAAAATCTTCTGGATCTTATAGATGAAAGACAAACTGAAGATGTGCTTGCATATCTGCCTCCTTCACAAGGATTTCTTGTTGTTTATTGCGTGTCGCAATAAACAACAAATCAATTAATCACATAAATGAAAACAAACTCATTAATTTCTTGTTTTTCTCTTTTGTCTCTTTCTACCAAAAAGTGGATGACAAAAGTCTTCAGTCTGGTGCTTTGGTCTCTACTGGTTGATTTTTTTGAAAGACAATTTTGCTTACAGACTCTTCCCAATTAATTCTGTCTGTTATTATGTTAATTTAGTTTGGATAGTTGAAGCATCTTCCAGTTTCTGTATCAAATATTCTTTAGAATTTAAAGTTTATTGCTCTTTGAGAAGCCCCGCGACACACTGGCAACCTGTACAGGGTGTACCCCGTCTCTCACCCGAAACGTTCGCTGGAGAAAGGCACCAGCACCCCTGCTGAACCCACTAGGGACAAGGGTTTACAGGGCAAAGGCATTTATTCATTCCAACCACTTCCCAGCTCCTGCCTGTGAGAACGAGCAGCACTGGAGCAAAACGTGCACATGTAAAACTACAATATCGTGCAGCGCTCCTGAAGCACAGACACACATCTTCAGTTTCAAGTCTGGCATGCACACTTATCTTGAAATGCTTCGCTTGCTCTCTTTCACGTATCAACGCGCCAGGACAGCGATCCTCTTTCTAAACTCAGGCAAATCACAAAATCACCCTGGCTCACCCACCACCTTGCTATATTAAGCAGAGGGCTTTCCAGTAAATTCTGTCATCGTATGGGGGTCTGACTGACTCACACATGCCTGCTGTCTTCACAGGTTTCTCTGAACGTCAGGCTGTGGGAGCAGCGTGAAATGCAGGCAGCAGAGAGCCGTGGCACGAGTCAATTAAATGTGTGAGATATTTCAAAATAAACGAAAACAGATTATGTTTGTTTTCAGCCGTACCTATGGTAGAGTTGGTTTAAAAGTTGTTCATCTTTAGCTGAACAATGTCAGAATTATTGTATTTTGGGCTGCCCAATGGAGCGCATTTTTATCATTGCTGCAATGAGTATGTTCCTTTTTTCACTTTTAATGTTTACATTGATCTTTATCTTATTGTTTGGGAAAATATATTCCTTTTTCATTGTTTTTTACATTGTTAAAATTATTTAACATTTTTTTAAAACTTTTGTTTTTATCTTTTTAGAGAATATACTCCCTTTTAGTAAAGCATATAGCAGGGCACATGCACGAGAAGATGAAAATATCAGACTCCTTCTTAGGCAACACTGAGGAAGGTGGCACACTTTGTGGCTTGTGTCACTGAGATGGAGAGAGATAAAATAATTTACTCTCTCTTTAGCTGGGATTCTGTGACTAGTGAGCATATTTGATGGGATAAACAATAAAAATCTGTTGCCATCAATACTTTCATTGGAGAAAATCATTTTGAGTCTTTTAAACTGTCTTAAAAGTCTGCAAAGATACGCGTGTGTGTGTGGGTGAGTTTGTACACTGCATGCTTCTATCGCTCCAGTCATCTGTTGCCTCTTTCTGACGTACATTTGCAAAACAGAGCAAGGCGTCCCTGTCGTGCGATCTGGGTCAATACAGCTTCGAAGGTTTCGAAGACTAATGTGGTTTGAAGTTTGAATGAAGTGCAAGTTAGGTAACAATAAAACCGAACCAGCAGCACATTGGACGGTGCCTTAAAAGCCGCCATATCTCCCTGTTGTTTTCTCTAAATAAGTGATTATGATGTACAGCAATCACATAGAGGCATTTTCACTGGAGGACTCTGTAAATGCAGAACTATTCTGGCAGATCCTACAAGAGCCATGCAGGATATTAGAGGGTACACACAAAACTGTGACCTGACCCATGACTACAACCACATCCCCATGGTGAATCAAGTGTGTGGCACACAAACCTTACCCACATAAACACAGGTTACATGAGCATGACGTGCTTGGCACCAGGCCTGTCACAATAATCAATAAATCAATGAATTTATTGATATACAAACAAACTCAATAATTTTCATTGGTATGATTTATCACTTTTCTCTTTTTAACTCTGTTTCTACCAAAAACTGACTGGTAAAAGTCCTCAGTTTGGTGCTTTTGGTCTCAACTAGCTCTTACTTTGGAGCGCAGTTTTGTTTACAAAGATGTCAAAATTTATTTTATTTGTTTTATTTATTTGGGATATTTAGAATGTCTTCCAGTTCTCGTGTTAAATGTTCATTATGATTTAAAGTCTATTGATCTTTTAGAATGTGCCCTTGCAGTATTATTTTACCATTACATTCCTTGAAAATGAACTCAAAACAACAATATTATCGTTTAACGCAAAAACGTTTGGAATGATTTATCACCCAGATCTGATACACACAATGCAACACACACACAACACGCATGCACACACGCACACACACTTATCTTCCTGCATAGCCTGCTTTTTCTTTTTTTTTTTTTTTTTTTTTTACAAATTAGACTAAACAATAAAGACAGAAAAGCAAATTCTATTCGTCTGTCTGCAGGCGCTCCTGGTGCCGCCTACAATAGTCAACAGGCAAAGTCAGGTATAGGAGAACCTAAAGGTCATTTATTTTCAATTTTATAAGTCTTTCAAAAATTACAATATGAAACAAAACTGCTTTATTCTTGTCCTAATGATATTGATGTTTGTATAGCAAACAGTCCTTATCACACCTCTAACCTGAGAAAACAGCCTGAGTCCTCAGTTAGCTAAAAATGTGCTGAGTTTCGACAGTCACCACCTGATGTACTGAAAGTCCCACTGTTTTCTTTTTTGCATCAAGTTTTCACTCAGTTAAGCCCCAGAGAACCATGATAAATGTTTCACAGTCAAGCCGCTGTATGTCATTTCAATCTCCAGCATCTATGCTTCTGTACAATGGGGAGGAAATGAAATTACCTGAAGGAAAAACCATTCAAAACATACAAACACTATGGAATATATACAAGGCCAATTTCTGTTTCTAACCCTACTGTAGAGATAGTTTTGAGTTGCCAACATTAAACTGACTAGAGTCTTGGATTATGGCCCAGATTTGAACAAATTGAACAAATGGCTCCTCTGTGTTTCTGACATAAAGGTCCCTTGGGGTGGTAATCAACTTCCCCTTGATTCAGACCTAGTGTGAGATGCTACATGGTCTGTTTTACTGCAAATACCTCAAGTTATTGAAATTCAAGCATCACTTGCGAAATGTTCAAAGCCTGAGAAAAAAACACAACCACAATAACCATTAAGCAGAAGTGTCTAAGAAGTGACATCAACAGTCATGAGTTGCTTATATATATATATATAAAAAAAACCATATATATATATTCATATATAATTATATATATGGTCATGGGGACTCTAAAGGAACTAGGGTTGAAAATACCACTTCCTGTCAGTCTCTGCAATCTGACAGCCTTTCTGATGCCTCGTCTGCAGGACATTTTGAAAACTTTCCGTTACACTCTGCATTTTAGGATTGGCACATTATGAAAATATGATTTCACAACATATTTAGCGTGAGCTTTATGGTAAATTACCATGCCCTAAGTTATGGTGGGGCGAGGCCTGTCATCTAGAAAACAAATTTTGCCGCACATAAATTGTTCCTGAAGTTATTGAGTTAAACAATAATATTAATGACAATGGCATAATAGTAAAGTAGGCCCACTCAAAGATGAATAAGCTTTACCTTCTAACAAACATTTAAATATCTAATACATATAAACAAAACAACAGAAACAAAAAATAGAATGAATTATAAAGTTTCTGTAAACAAGAAAATCCACTTGAGACTAACAGACCAGAATGCAGACTGTTGCCATCCAGGTTTTGGTAGAAAGGAAAAGAGAAAAGAGAAAAACAATAAATCATGAAAATGGAACCAAAATGTTGTATTTTTGTTGAATTACTGCTTATTGTGATTATTTCAACTAATTCAGATTGTGGGAAACGAAGGAATTTGTCAAGAGAAATGTAGCCAATCAGTATGCTGGACAATGAAATCTGAACCGCAAACCGTGGGAGTCTATGCAGCTCACTTAATGCACCAACAAGTTAAGAGGAAATTGTGGATAAAAGACGAAAGGTCACCTCATTAGTTTGGCTGCATTTTGGACACTTAAAATAAAAAAAATCTCATCACTAATATTGACTGATATGAATTGCTTATATCATGATACGTTTTCCAGACATATCGCCCAACTCTCTGCACTTGATGCTCTCTGGAAATTTAAACGCCTCCGCCTTCTGATTGTCATCTGCCGCTGTCTTCACAGACGATACATTCAATCTCCTTCTGCTACACTCTGATGGGAACCATTGAAACCAGTAAGCGTTTCATCTCAACTGAGTGAGTTTATAGAATGATAGAATGGGCCTGATAGATGATCTCAATATCAATACCTGGCCGACATTTTCTAATGTTTTAGGATTGTCACGTTGCCCAGCCCTGCTTTACAGTACAAAGTGTCTGGATGACTGTCCTGGAGCAGTTTTCCAGTCTACACGGCGGTGCAGGGAAGAATGCACAAGGAAGAGGAATCTGGGGGACAAAAGCAGCTCTTTGTTCTCAGGCATTAGAGCTGAAGTGACAGCGAGCGTGAATAAAGGTCAAAGATCATGGGCTGATTCAGAGCCTGTTTTAATAGACGAGCTCAAACAGCACAGGCAAACACATGCATAGTCCTCAAACACTGCACAAGGTATCCATGGAGAGAAGGTGGGAGAATTCATCTTCCTTCTTGCACTATGTATTTCATTAAAGCCATACTTATAGCAAACAAATTAGCATTTTGTAGAGTTGAAGAGAACTCTTCCCTGAAGGATAGTGCTGAGCTCACAGTGCTTCAGCCAGAAGCACCGCTGAGGGAGGAGCGCCGATCCCTTCTGCATGCCTGGTTATCTTGGCTATCTTTCTTTTCTGTTGCTGCTTGCTGTGGCTGACAAGGTGCCATGTGACAATGACACCAAACGTCTTCATGAAAGTTGGGATTTCAGTGATCAAAGTGAAAATTTACTCACAATCTCTTCCCATGCAGCAAGCAAAACAAGACATTGCTGCCAAACTGGGCCGAGACAGAAATAAGCATATTTTCCTCCACACAAACTCAAGACACGGAGCTCTGAGGTCAATGTTGCTGTCTTGGGATGCACCCTCAGATGCATTTGTGCTGCATTCTTTGGGAAAGCACCATAGTGATGCACAATGCTCTCCGCTCTGCGTCTTTGGGGAGGAAATTGAAGGAGCAGGTGGAATGCTGCAGATAAGCCCTTTGTGGCTGAGAAAAAAATCAATAACTACCTCGCTTCCAGACAAAAACCAGCAAATAATTAGACCTCAATCACTCCCAGAGTGTACATAGGTGTGGATTAAAAGGCTTTTAGTTTGCCATCAAATGCTTTCTTTCCCTCACTATAAAAAAAATGAAGTCAGCACAAAAGAAAAGAGGTGATCTGCTATGAGTCACTGCTAACATTTGCATTTCAAAAGATGAGAATTTTTTTTTTTTTAACATTTGTTCACTTTCGGTTTCAAGCGACATCTCTGATCTGCATGTGCTCCTTTAGGAGTCTTTCAAATGGGTAATTGGCCTCGTTTCACACCTTTGTTGTTCTTGAGCTTATTGCCAGTGAAGACTTTTGATTCTACACCTTGGCACAGGCGGAAACCACATCCTCCAGCTGAACGAAGAGCGGAGGTTAGAACCGTATGAACGCTGTTCGCTTCCTTTAAACACATAGGAATTTACTGTGTACAAATGTCTTGGGTGTGTACTTAGTTTCACCCCGAGCTTTTTATTTTTGGCAGCCAGACAGGGGTCAGAATGGACCGGTAATAAACTAACATAGCTATTGCTGCTAAATGATTCCTTGTTCTCCATGCTGCATCGCTTTCTCTGTCAACTCAATTAGATAACTTTAGACACTAAGAAATGCAAACAAGAAAATGTGAGCAACTAGGTTACCAACTCTTTTTAAAACCTTATATCTTAAAAACATTCGTTGGTTGAAAACCTGGAAATGCACCCTTATATTTAGGAGGCATATTTTTTATGCTACCAATTAATGTTTTACCTAATTTAGAATAATAAAAGAAGAAATATAAATTGCTTTTTATTATTATATTATATCACAGCCCCTACCACACCTGCTGCTGTACAGTCCCGGTTGGCTGACAGTTTGGGACAGAAATGACCCAGACAGCCTAGCTACAGCAACAGATACCCCAACTAATTAAGCAGCTAATACCAGCTTGTCATACTACTGTTACTTAATAATAGTAGTCTGCACAGTAAGTGCCTAAAGATTATTTATTTTTTGTGTCAACGCCCCCAAAAAACTTAATAAATTCTAGCTAATTAGCTATTACGTTCTTTGTTTAACAGCAGGTTAAACAATTTTTCAGTGTTAAAAAATTAATTCTTGCTCATTGTGTGTGTGTGTGTGTGTGTAGTTTACAGCTCTTTTTATGTATCATAATAAAAGACACAGTACACTCAAAATTCAACGGCTCGACACTAACAATACACTTTTACAGCGAGCAGCTACTTCAATAGTGAGCGGGCTCACCTTGAAACAGGTCTCCTTTCTTGTAGCTTCTTTCTTTGTGCGTCACCTGGTCGTCTGGAGCTCAGAGCCTCCTGGTGAAACTTGCTGCCCGGGGAGAGCAGACCAGACGCGGCGTGAAGGAACAACTTCTGATGAGGACGCAAATCAACTCATCTGACTAAGAGCGAGGCAGGTTGACCAGAGCAGAGGGAAGGGGCGGGGGGGTAATTCCCTGTCACTTGCTCATTGCATCAGTTGCACGCGCTGTATAGTTTCTAAATGACGTGGGAAAATGTTCGAACAGAATTGAAGAATTAAAAAAAAGTCTCACGGAAAAGCGCGCGAGCGCGTGCGGAGCAGGACGTGGCGACGACCACTCGGTTCGAGTTCAGAGAAGAAGGTTCGGTCACACCGGTGAGGGAGGGAGAAGTCAAGGCAGCTTCAATACACATGTACCACTTTCTTTTCTGATTTTCAAAATAAAAGTGTCAGGCCACAGCAGAGCAGCGCAAACAAGAAACTTCCTCGGCTGCACCTTGGTAAATGAACATTTTTCACTTATTAATTGCTTTTCAAAGTTCTTATCTGTTTAGTCATTGACAAACATGAACTTTAAAGGAACTGACATTGTGTGTATGTCACATATTTGATTTAAAAGAAGTTTTTAAATAGGCTTTTGTCATTTTCACTCACATTGTGAAAAATGTCCAAGTAATGCAAAAATATTCATTAATGCCTCACTGTTTAAAAGGATTACATGAATAAAATAATTCAGCAAGATTTCAAGCTCCATATTTACTAGTCTGTGTTTGCTAGGTGACTATCATTAATAAGTTTAGAAGACCAACCTCATTCTCATTTCCAGTTTTCTCAGTGGACAAATGATCTGGCCTGCATCGACCTGGTGGGCAGGTCCTTCAAAGAATGCAGCCCCTGAATTTAAACACACGGTGTGTCTTGTGCACACGACCATATTAGATTTTAAACTTATTACTCAAGGACCTCCTGCTTCTCCAATCAAAATTCCAACTGGACTGGTGCAGTTCATTCGTTAAACTGGAAACTACAAAATTCATGCCTCTTACTACAAACAGAACAGAGTGCAGGTTTTAAACTCCAATGAGCTTACCAACAATAAGCATCATTGTTCGGAAGAATGATGACCTTTCTCTCCTTAAACACAATATATTTCCTAAAGGTTGACCTACTTGTGGTCTATACTTCTATATGAACAAATCATAATAATTTAAAGTTAGTTTTCTCTGCTGTTTCTTCCCTTCCTTTAACTTTTCTCATCCCACACTCAAGTATAATAATTTCCCTGTGGCAAATTTGAGCTCTTATTTTGCTAAACACAACCCTTGTTTCCTGTTACTCCTACTCTTGTCTCTTTGTTCTGTCAGGTGTAAAGGAGAGCTGTAACTGGATGTGTGAGCAGAAAAAGGGGGCTGACTGTTAAATAGGCCAGAGGGCAATGAGTCATTTACCTTTCTGAGGCCAGTAAATCATGCAGCAGAAAATCTCAACTTCCCTCGGTAATTGAACTGTTATGGCTCCTTATTGCGTTATGTTGCGCTATCACACCTCCTAATCTTAACTGGATTTATATAGATTGTTTGTAAAAGGGCATCTTCTCCTGTAGATCTCCAGGACAGGTTGGGGGTCAAATGTGGATCCTGCTACTGGGAATTGCTGGCTGGTGTTCAAATACTCCTTTGGGGCTGTCCCAAGAGACATGTCAGCTTCTCTGTGGGACAATTAATACAAATATTAGTATGTAGGGAAAATAAAAAGGTTTATTTCGCTGTCTGTTGTGCTCCAGCAGATGTCAGTGGTTACAGCAGACCGAATCCTTGTTATCTGCTTGTTTTTGCTTCTGTAAGCTATAAGCTCAGAAAGGTGCAGAAGGGGAAATCATAAAGCAGAACAAATTATACTAACGGTAATTTGTCTTCTATTTCACTGTGCGATGGATGCATTTAACTGTGGCAAAAGAGACTTTGCAACCAACTCCACCTGAGATAATTCCTCACTGTTTGCAGGAACTATAGCAGCTGATGTTTCTGTAACCCCTGTGCACCTGTGTCAGTCTATATATTGTTTTTAAGCAAAATCTGTCGTTAAAGGGAATTTAAACCACTTTTAAGTTTTAAGTTAACATAATTTTTATGTGGATAAAAATTGGATCCACAATCCAATCTGTATTGGATTGTGGATTTTTGGAAACCTGATAGACTCCAAGTTTGTTAAAGAGAAAGCAAATAAGGCACCGTTGTCACATCTACTTAGATTACTAAATGCTGTCATTTCAAATTACAAACATTGCACAAAGGGAACAGAGTGAGAGGAGAGAAAGAAGGAAGTGCACCTGGCTCTCCTCTGTGTGCTGTTCCAACAGACGACATGAGTGGTTTATTGTCTGCAAGAAAATGAGCGTGTGTCTGTGTGTGGGAGAGGTTTGTTTGTCTGCAGGGTATGGCAGTTGAATCATAAAAGTAATAAAGATCCAACTGCCACGTGATAACAAGTATGCTGAGAGTAACTCTCACACATTCAGATGCACACATGGACACAAACGTGAGAAATAAATGGCGTCTGCTGATTTGCTGATGGCCTCTAGTTTTTGCACATCACAACCACAAACTTCAGAGCATTTAAAGAACCTTTGTGGCAGACTAGCACAAAGAAACTCATAATTGTAAAGTGGAAGAAAATTATGTTTTCAAATATTTGTACAGAGGTTTAAAAAAGTGTAACACTTTCCTCTAATCTGATGCTGAAAGCTGGATTGGCCATCGGCCATATAGGGTTATGCCCAGTGGGATAATGCATCATCGTGAACTTTATATCATGCTATAATAAGTTATCTCCTCATCACAAACATAACTGGAGTGTTGCCTTGATACTTTCATGCATGTTTGACAAATCCTTTAATCTCCCATGGCAACCATTCAGCTCCTTAAGACAAGCCCCGAGCAATTAGCAAACACCTGGTGGGACTTTTCATCTGCTGAGTTCATTATACAAGTTACTTCTCATTGAAACACTGGTTAAAATAAACAAATGAATAAATAAATGTGATGGAGTTAATAAAGGAGTCATGTTGTGATGACTTCAGGCAGGCAGAGTTTCAGAAAGAGCAGGAGTTTTTAAAGAGGCAGAGGCCCAATTACAAGGCTTTAAATTTCTCTTAAATCATATTTGATAGATAATGCATTTTTATAACAACTAAAGGTAACATAGTTATATGATTGTGCTATAAAATGGCACTAAATGCCAAAATCCGATAAGCACCAGTTAAATAAGACTTAGCAACAAGACTCATGTCTAAACGTGTTTCTTATCTAATCATTTAACTTGATAAAAGAGTTTTGGAACTCTTAATGGATGAACTATTAGGGGTTTCGGTATTAACAGGGAACGGCCCACAGCAGAGAGTGTTTGCTCATGCTTGTCAGCAGCAAGTAATATCCTGTCCCATTAGATAATTGACCCCTATGTCTGTCCTGTTGAAATCTCCATATGTGGAGAAAATCCTGGGAAGTCTGAACTCTGAACACAGTCCTGAAACTCAGCCAATTGTTAACCCTTTACGCCTCACACCCGGAAAATACAATGGAAAAAAGGCGTTCAGCTGCTTGTCAGGGGGTTTCAGTATAAAATAGACAGCATAATTTCCCACCTGTATTTAGTAAGAAAAAAAAACATTAGTTAATGTCATGATTCTTGCATGTTGTGGGTTTTGGTTTTTTGTTTTTGTATTATTATTATTTTCCTTTTGGATAATTTCTGCCATGTTTTTGTATCAGTGTTTTCTTTAAGTTAAGTTTGTGATTTTTTTAAAATGAGAAAATAAAACAATCTATTGCCACATTTCAATGGTTAGTTTTCTGTGAGTTGGATCCTTAAGACCCACCATGACAACAAACAAGTATAACACTGCTATATCCTTAAATCTATGAAAACCATGCAGAATAAAAAAGGGTATTAATGCACTGGCTAGGCACTGTAAAATGGTAAACGGCTTGTACTTGTGTTGCACTTTATTAAGTCCATAGGAAGCCAAAGCGCTTTACGCTACATTTAGTCATTCACCCATTCACACGCGACTGGACAGTAACCACAGCTGGCCTGGGACACGTGCAATAATGACATTCTCATGAAGGGGAAAAAAGGAAACAGCGATGAGAAGTTTCACTCGGAGCTAAATACACCAAGGGACGACTTTCTAGTTTTAACTGCCAGTATGCATCTGTTTTTGAAAGGGTTGTGGTATCAAAGTAGGGGAAACCCCTTAAGAGGATGTGCAGTACTCACGCCCTCTCACCAGGTACAGGTACATTCATGTTGAGCTACAGTTTGTCCAGTTCAGATCAGTTTCAGATCTAAAAACAGGTTGGAAAGGCAGTAAAACAAGTGGTATTTAAAGACTGTCTTTCAGACTTTAATTAATACTCAGAACATACATCCTTTTCATTGGCTAAATGTAATTCTCAGTTTTTTTAAAGACAAAACTTATTAAGCTGTATGGTATATGAATTTTAAGAATTGTAGTCAAACGTTTCTCTAATTAAAGAACATGATGAAATATAAGCAAGTATCACAGAGCACATGCTCACGTCTGAGCATACCGGCCCTTTAAATAATTAACAGTTTTGATCATTGAGATGAAATTTAGTTGATTTTAGTTGAATTTGACAGAACATGGATTCTCTGTTTGACACTACAGTAGTTGCTAAAGGGCAGAAAAGTAAATATTTTAGTGTAGCATACAGAAAATATTTCTATCAGACTTATAAAGACTTGAGTGAGGAAGGTGGCCTACAAAGCTGACTGTGTTAGAACAGATTGGTTAGGATGAACGGGCAAAAGTCCAACAATTTTTTTATTAAAAACAGAGGACTCAAAACGTCTGTATTTTCCAAATACCAATAAAAGTATGAAAAATTCAGAAATTTAAGAAATTTTCAGAAATTCTCTTACAAATTCTCCCTTTTGTTGATTTGGCATTTAAAAAATAAAAAGATAACTTTATCCTTCCTGAATAACTTAGCGTACGGCATGTTTGGTCTGATTTGATATCAGCAGTAGTTAGACTACTGCTTGTGTGTAATGTAAAAATATCTGGTTTTAGTTGTTCATCACCAAAGGAAATACCAGATGAGAAACAGCCGTGAGAACGAACACAACTGATGTGTGAAGAAAAGGTCAAACATCAAGAGACAAAAATGGGAATTAAAAAAAAGAACATAGATTTAAACACATAGAGCTGCAATGCAAGAATAAAGAAACTGCTGATCTTCTAAAAGTAATGAAATTACATTTCCAAATTGATTATGACATATTTAAGAATGTATAATATATGTGCAAAACTTTCATTGTAATGTTTTCAGATATTTTTCTG